ACCCCTCCTCTTCCCAGATTTTGTGGCCAGCAAAGCTGCCAGAGCACGCTCAGCCCTCATCTTTGCTCCACGCAGCACCCCAGGAATGAAGCAAACGTCTTCCCACAGCACAAGGGGACTTGGCACCCCCATTTCCCACTGCCCGGCTGGCTCAGCTTGCAACGACACAAGGGGCTACACCCCAGACCCTGCTTTGCTCCTGAACATCAACTGCACGATGCAATGCACATCTTGCTGCAGGTCACCACCACCCATCCACTCTACATGGCTCAGAGGTGGCACTGACGAGTACCTCTCCTCCCCACCCTGCTACCAGCACCTCTCTGGTCCCAGAAGATGCTGTTCCCACCCATGGGAAGTTACAATGCCACATGCTAAGAAACATGGCTTTTCCTTCCTCTCCTTTGTCATCTTGGAGTTGTTTGCAGTTGAAAGGACCCCATGAAGCACACCATGAAGATGCATAATGAATGCAACCCACACACACCTGTGGGATTTTCTACCGGAGCATGACCCCTTCCCAGTCTTCCTCCAACCGTGTCACCTCACCGAGATCTTTGCTTAACCCCAAGGAGGCTTCAAAAGCATCACCCATGTCATACCTTGGTGAGGGTGGAGGGGAAGGCCACCTCGTGCAGGTGGAACTGTGGCACGCACTGGAAGGTGACGGTGAGCACGACGCCCAAGCAGCCGAGGTGCAGGCGGGCTGCCTGGAAGATGTCCGCGTTGATGGACTCAGAGCACTCCAGGATCTCTCCCGAGGCTGTCAGCAGTGTGAGAGCTACGACCTACCGAGAAGGAAGCAAAGCATTGGTGAGCATTCAGTGTGTCCCGTCTCCATGCCAAGACCCTTCTTCCACCCCAAACCTGACAGCTGGAGGCTAAGCAGAGAGACCTCCACACCACAACCAGCATCACAGGGTGCTTTCTGCTGAGCTTGGCTCCACCAGCCCCTCTCCTGCCACCTTCCATGTAGCGACGTAAGAGGATCCTTCCCTCTCTGGGGGATGCCAGGAGAAGCCACCCAACAAAGAAGTAAAACTCCCCCAGATGACTTCACTGCAGGCTGCCCAGAGAAGTAGTGGAGTCACCATCCCTGGAGGGGTTCAAAAACTGTGTGGATGTGGCACTTAGGGACATGGTTTAGCAGGCACGGTGGTGTTGGGGTGATGGTTGGACTTGATGATCTCAGAGGTCTTTTCCAACCTTAATGATGCTATGACTTCTCCGTAACCATTGGTGGAATCACCATACAGGATTTGAGCTAGGAGTGGAGGACTTTAATAAACATCTAGTTAAGAACAGGCCTGAGCCCTGCAGAGATCTAGGTTTTGGGGACTCCAGCACAAGAACTGCTTTCCCTTTTGGTACAGATCTTATTCATTAGTTTGTAAGACCACAAAGCACAGGGACAGAGGAATTTTGGGCTGGATCATGTTCTGTCTGGCAGATGAGGAGGTCCTGGTGTGCGTGGGGGACTTGGGCATCCTCCATAGCAGACCCATCCCGGGGAGTCAGGACCTCTTCTGCTTGCTGGGTACAGTGTGCTCCTTCGTTACCCCAGAGCTGGGCACACCAGACCCAGAATGGGTGATGGGACATCTCTCCTGAAGCCCTCAAGATGCTGATGACCATGCACCCACAAGCTCCCAGCTCGTGTCTCACCTGGGTGGGGAGGATGCCGTGCTTGATCCCGGTGTTGTGCGTCCCCGTCCCAATCACACCAGCTGCTGCCACCTCCGAAACGGCTCCTAAACTGGGGACAGACAAAAGGGCTGGGTGAGGATCTGAGTGCGTGGGACACAGTGTGGGCCACAGCCCTCCATGCCAGGTGTTCCACTGTGTGCAGGCCCTGCACAGAGACCCCCAGGACATGTCCCCTGCCCCATCAAGCAGGGTTTTCCTCCCTTCAGGGTACTCTGCAGCAACGGGTGGGTTTTTGGCCACGTGCATGTCTCCATGGGACGTATCTATCAGGATGCTGCTATAGTCCATGGGGAAGAAGAGGCAACCAGTGAGCGCAGGTCCCGTCTCACAAGTCCCCATCTCTCCCCATCAGCCTGGAGTGACTCACTGCAGTGGAGACATCCCTCCCATACGCATCAGAGCAAGGGGTGAGGAACCTGGGTTCACCCCAGAAACATCACTGCGGGGCTGGAAGCAGCACCCATGAGCATAAGGTCTGCGGATCAAGGTCCATCCCTCCAACCACATCCAAGGTGGGCATGTGGGGATGGTAGAAGGTTACAGCCAACAGTGTGCTGTGCCTGCCGTTTCCCCCAAATACTTCTTCCAATGGCCGGGGAGCAGCCACCTCCTGAACCAGATGTGGTTTCTATGGCCATTGCAACCATTGGTGGAAGGAGTCCTGCTCACCCCATGCACACCATTGGCCATCTGGTCAAGTGGGGCTTATTTCTCTGAACCCTCACCCCAGCGCTGGCCAAGGCTCTGACAAACCAATCTCTTGTATTGACTGAGGAAAACAGAGATTGGCTTAGGCTGTAATTAATGAGCAATTTCTTCCCTGAGGTCAGCAAAAGAAAGAGCTTGAGTGTGAGAAATGCTCTCCATGGTCATTTCCTTTGCAAACCTCTATCTGAACATGGGTCTCTCCAAGCCCTTGGCCAGACACCGACTGCAAGGGAGAGCTATACGTGCTGGAGGCAGAGGGTTCAGCGGTGATCGGCTCGAGGCGTCTCATCCTCTGCACCAGGATGGCCCTGGAACCCCAGCCAATCATTTCCACCTCTTCTGGGGACACCAGACATCCCGAAGCAATTCAAAGCAAGGACTCTCCCGTGCCTTCTGCTAAGATATGCCAATGTCTAATTGTCCTTTGCCATCAAAAACTCTTTTCTTGCCTTATTTTGTCTACCATCAGCCTCCTTTGCCCGGAGCTGCCTACTGTCAGCCTCTACCCCATGCAAGGCATCCCTACGAGGGGTGGTCTCATCTTTTTGGGGCCAAGGAGTGCAGAGTTTTCCTTCGTGATGTGGAAAGGACCATCCTGGTGGGTGCAGTGAGAATAATAGGGTTGATGTGGAGGTAGAATCATCATAGAATGGTTTGGGTTGGAAGGGACCTTAAAGATCATCTAGTTCCAACCTCCCTGCCATGGGCAGGGACACCTTCCATTAGACCAGGCTATGGGCTCCCCTTGTCCAGCCTCCTGCTCCAAGGCAGGATCAGCTACTCCATTGTGGAGGGGGTTGATTTGCAGTTTGCAGGACCCTGGTGGAAGACCAGATCCTGAAGTAAACATCCCTATTCTGCAGTAAAAGTTCTTCAAACCTCCCTGTTTTGCCATATCCCAGCATTCTTGACCTGGGGTTAGGATGGACACCTTGGAGGACACCCAGGGATGGCCCCGCGCACGTGTCCCACTCACTTGGCCAGGGCCAGCCCGTGCTTGCTCAGCTCGACGTTCAGATCTGAGAGGAAAATCCCACCTTCCACTGTCACTTGCTGCTTCTCCTTGTCCACCTGCAAATGACAGGATGGGAGGGGAGAGGGGAAGGTCACACAGCTCGGAGGAGAAACATTCCATGGAAAAGACCTCTGTTCTTACCAATGCAGTTGATAACATCTGTAAGGGAGAGCCATCTACCATGAGGACCTTGCTCCATCCTGAGCTTCCACTGCTCTCAGACCTTCACCCAGACCTCGTCCAGCCCAACTGTGCCACTGGTTCCTGCCCCTGGTCCAGACCCCAGTCCCCTCTGCTCTCAGGAGTTTGTAACCTCTCCCACAACTTCTCCCAGGTGCTGGTCAATGCAAGGGAGAAGACAACCCCTGCAAAGCTCTGCCTTTAGCAAACGTCTTCACTCTGCCCTCCTGCCTTGCTCAGCCGGCTCCAGCCAGCTCCTGGTGGAAGGAGAGCTTGTTGCCATCAGGAGCTGTTCATCCCGCTTCTGACAGACAGAGCTGTCAGGGAGGAAGCCGTTCCTTAATTAAGCATTGCTGTTAATCACCAGTTATGACCAGCTCTCAGAACATGCTGCTAGAGTCAGGAATTTTTCATCTTCAGCTGCACGTTTAAGACAGACAGAGCTGTCAGGGAGGGAGCCGTTCCTTAATTAAGCATTGCTGTTAATCACCAGTTATGACCAGCTCTCAGAACATGCTGCTAGAGTCAGGAATTTTTCATCTTCAGCTGCACGTTTACACACACGTACGGAAACACACATCCATATCTATGGACACATCTACACACCAGAGCTCTGGATGCAAAGCACAGGGCAGGAGAAGCTCTCCCCCTCCCTCACAGCAGCTCTCGTTTTCCCAGAGTTGTTCAGGAGATGATCCAGAGGCAACCAGCCAGGGCTGTTTCCTTCCCAGTGTCATCAAGTGGAGCAAACTCCCATGGGGACATTTCCCATCTGATGCAGGAACAAACCCTGGACCACGAACATCGAGCCGGGTCTTTGCCAGGCTGCTGTGCCTTGCAAGCTCGCATCAAGTGAGCCACAAAAAGTGATCCTCCTCCCCAACGAGCAGACCATGCTGTGATGAGGACAACGTGCCAAGGTTCAGCCTTCACTGAACGTACGCTGGGAAGACATCACGTCTTTGCATTTTTTTAGCTCTCCATATACTTCCAACACACGAGGGATGCTTTTACGCTGGGAAAATGGCCATTCCCTAGTCCTGCACCAGCATTTCAGGGTCTGGTTTTGGAAAAGTCCTGGCTGTGAGGAGAGAAAAGCCTCTCCATCCTTTCGCCTCTCACCCTGGGTATGGCACTGATGGTCTCCCTGCCCTCGGTAGCTGCATGAACAGGAGTGCCACCACATTTCAAGGCCACCACGCCACCTTCCAGCAGCAGGTCTCACCTTAAGGACCCTGTTCATCTTCCCCATCTGGATCATGAAGTCATCTGTGCAGGCGATGTCTGAAGGAGAGTGGCCACCCCCCACCACCTTCACCCTCTTGTCCCTCTGCCTGGCCATGTCCAGGATCTGCAGAGACAACAGGCAGCGCTGAGCATTCAACATCTCCCTCAAAGCCATGTGCTAAGAGTGATGCCAGAGGCACCATGAGACATCCCCAGCTGAAATCTCACCCATCGTTGACACCTCCTTCACTTGGATAACTCACCATCTAGGGTTAGAACCACCCCTGGAGCCCAGACACCTCATAAGACAGTCCTTGGGATCATCCTTGGGGGTTGGACTAGATGACCTTTAAAGGTTCCTTCCAACCCAAACCATTCTGTGATTCTATGATGCCAAAAGAGGTGATGCCCACCTGAGACACCCTAGGGTGACAGAGGCATCTCTGGAGTGACAAAAGTGACACAGGACTCCTCCTCCTCAGCATGGCAGCTGGGGCAGGCAGGGGACCCCAGAAGGATGCCAGATGCTGATGCCCAAGGAACAGAGTCCAGCTGGGGCTAGGCATGATAGTTTTCTGCGTCTCTTAGGTGTCTGACACATCTGCTGGAGCACACCTGCAGTTCAGTAGCGTGGGCCATCTCCTGGGGCTGAGGGGACGACTCATGCTGACACCATCTGTGACCTCTCTGACTCAACATGATGGAACATCATAGCCCTTCCTGGCCTATCCTCCTCTTCATTTCTAACTGGTTGTCTCCTGGATGCACCCTCCTTACCTCCCGGATCTCCTCTACTGAGGTAGGCTGGAAGTACAGCTCCGGAGAGGAGCCATAGGTCTTAGCCCAGTTCTGGAACTTGACTCCTCCTTGGCCGTGAACCTGGACCAAAAACAAGAGCTAAAGCAGAAGAAAGCAAGTGCCTCTCCTGCTTTTTTCCATGCAGTCCACCCTTCATCTGCCAAGACCACTGCATCAGAGCCAGGTTTCCGACAGGATTAATTATTTAGAGAGACAGAGGTTCACCTCAACCCCTTGAGTCCGTAGAGCAGAGCCGTCTCCGTGTGAGCAAGTCAGCCTGGGCTCCCTTTGCAGTCGGTGCGGAGAAGTGGGAGGACCCCCTGGGCTGTTTGAGACATCTCCCTTGAACGTAGCCCACCCCTTCCTCCTAGAGCATGGCATGTGCTGGGGTCCTCTTGGTTTATTTGGCTTCTTCTGCTCTGGTCTCCTCTCAGACCTGGTCTGAGCACCCATACCTACCTCCTGGCCTCACGTCCCAGTGTCCCCGGATGGCCTCATCATGAGGAGCTGGCTGGCACCAGGTTGGGACTTCCCTCCAGCCTCAGCTACCCACCCTGAGACACTGTTCCCAGGCCTGGCACGGGGGGCACAGCCAAAAGACTCAGCCCCATCCTGTCTCCAGGCAGGGGTTAACCCAAGGCAGAGCAGCCCCGGGGTGGTTTGGATGGGTCCTGGCTGGGGGGGACAGTTTTTTCCTGGCTGTGGCCGTGGCCAGGAAGGAAGGACCTAGTGTGGGGTTGGGCACCAAGCCCAAGGAAGATGGTGAATCCCTCTGCCCCGAGCAGGGATGGATCAAACCTGCTGCCCCACCATGAGTCCCACCTTGGCTGCAGGGGATGATTTACTCCCTACCTCCTGCTGCGTCCTTCCTCCCCTTCCCTCCAGACTCCTCCTCATCAGCAACCCTCCACCTCCCCCCACTTCCCACCTCTGCCCTCAGCATTGTTTTTCTTCTCCCCTTGTCTATGATGGGTTCAGCTCCCGTCCAAAGAGCAGACCCCAAAACTGGCCAAACTTCTCCGGGGGGTGCAGAGGGGGTTCTCCCAGGGGTCCCTGCAGCATCCCTTCCCCCGCCACCTCCCTCCCCATCACCCCAGCCCCCCCAAGGCTGCTTTTAGGGGCTG